TGAAAGGAGATGAAGTGACAGGAGGTTGGAGAAGACTGCATAATGAGGAGCTTCATAACTTCTACTCTTTTTCNGGGTTCAAGTCCCGATGAGGTCATTGGATTTTTTTCAATTGACCTAATCCTTCTGGCCGCACTACATCCTGGGGTTTACTCAGCCTCTAACAGAACTGAGTACCAGGAATTAATTAAATGATTTTCCTGGCGAGTGAAACACGGCTGGTGCGTAAGGCTGGCAACCGTACGGCCATCTTTGAGCCGATTGTCAAGGTAATGTGGGACCCTTAACGTCTCACAACCTTGTGGGCCTTCACGGCCTGTTACAGGGATAGCTTTACCTTTTTTTTTNTTTTTTTTTTTTTTTTTTTATAAATAGATTGAGGATATTTGGTTTGAAAGGAGATGAAGTGACAGGAGGTTGGAGAAGACTGCATAATGAGGAGCTTCATAACTTCTACTCTTTTTCAAGTACGAGTATAATTAGAATGATCAAGTCAAGGAGGATGAGATGGTAAGGGAATATAGCACAAATGGGGGCAAAGTGGAATGCATATAGGATATTGGTGCAAAAGGCAGAAGGGAAGACTAAGGCATAGGTGGGTGGACAATATTAAAATGGATTTTAGAGAGATAGGGTGGGATGGTATGGATTGGATTGATCTGGCTCAGGATAGGGGCCAATAGAGATTTCTTGTGAACATGGTAATTAACCATCAGGTTACATAAAATATTAATCAATTATCGTGTCCCATCTAATGCAACAGAGAAAATGTTTGATCACACAACAGAATGCATTGCATGAAGATTACATAAAATGTTAGGAAGTTCTCGAGTAGCTTCAGGACTGGTGGCTTGTGAAGAAGGGATCAGCTCCATGAAGTTAGTCAATTATTAGTTGGTTGGTTCATTACTTTGTTCATTTGTTTGCTTGGTTGTTAGTCAAGACACTCAGTTAGTTAAGATAGTGGTTCAATCAGTCAGTGAAATTAATCTATGTTAATCAGCTGTTATATCAAGACTGGAGTGTACACAGTTCTTACATGCATTCTTTGCACCTTGGCATTTTGAAGTCACATCTACAGCTCCAAACTGTCTTTACTGTTGTTTCTTTCATATCTATCATTGTGATTACTGCTGGTACCATGATTCTAATTATGACATAGTAGCGTAGTTGTTTGAGGCACTATGCTACAAGTCAGAAGGTCGTGGGTTCAAGTCCTTTTGAGGTCATTGGATTTTTTCAATTGACCTAATCCTTCCAGCTGCACTATGGCCCTGGGGTCGACTCAACCTGTAACAGAAATGAGTACCAGGAATATTCTTGGAATATTCTTAGGGGTAAAGCAGCTGACACATAGGGCTGACAACCTTGCCACCATCTATGAGCCGATTGTCTAGAAAATGTGGGAACCTCAACATCTCACAACTCTATGAGCCTCCACGGCCTGTTACAGGGATACCTTTACTTACTTATCATGGTTATTGCTCTTTGGTAGATGCAGTAGTGTTGCACCCAGCTGAGAACTTGGTACATCTTTCACAATGCTACTACTGATTGTACATATTTAATATGGCCTCTAGTGTCATAACAGTCTTACCAAATTTTGTTAAAACTCATCCAGTGGCTCTCGAGTTGAAATAGACCTATCCATTGTGGACTTTGATATTTGTGGTCCTGAAACTCAAAAGTTCTGTTACCAGAGAATTAATTGTAGTTTATTGTCAGTGGACTGAAATTCCATGTGCATAGGTGCAGTGATTAAATATTGTATATGCCGTTGTCACGTTGGTCTTTATTTTAAATTGAAATAACTTTAACAAAAGCTGCATATTTAAATGGATTTAAATGCAGATTTCCAGAATCCTATACTGAATGTTGCTTCCCACCTCATAAGTTCACATTGCTACCATGCCGCAGCTGTTAGTGAGAGTGAGTAAAATGCAGTGACATGGCTTATGTAACAGTTGTTGTTAGAATCTGCACATTAAGGAAAGTTTATGAATTGTTAGCATGATAATTATGTCTACACACACATCTTGAACTACTCTGTAATGCTTCATTTACCTTAATAACTTGGCCCAGTAGCTCCGTATTAGCCTAATCAATGCAGTACATGGCTTGGAACAGCATCTGTGATCTATGAAGAGAGGAACAGTATTAAGATAGAAGAATGTGGAAATAAGTTCATGGAAGAAAAAGTAATCATGAAAGTATGAAGTTTCCAAGATATTATGAAAGCAAACACTTCATTCTTCATTTTTAGGAAGGAAACAACAGTATGCACTAGAATCTCATCAGGCAGTCAGACATGTCAGACTTACATTAAAACCTCAACTTCATTAGGCTGGTCACCTGAAAAGATTTCAGCACATTTATTCACACCAGAAGCTCTGTACATGATATAGAAAGAATACTACATTATTTTATTTAGAAAATAGTAGGAAGTGGTGAAAGTTTGTGTATGTAAATTGAAGAGGATCAAGAAGAAGGGAGGAAGAGGGAACACAAAGCCTACAACAGGTGGTATGATGCAAGATAGTGCAATTTGATTGGTAAAAAATGAAAAAGGTCATGTGTGTTAAAAAAAAAAGCATCAGAAATATTCACATGGAAACACTGTGAGGCTATTTAATACTGAGCACCACTTGTTAGAAACAGAAGCCAAACCTATAATTTTACTCTTCATTGTTAGTTCTGCATTATAGACACCACTGTAAATTAAAATTTTGTATTTGGAATTTAGAAAGCATTGACAGAATCATTTCTGGTTTTTGTCTTAGTATCCATACCAACAAGGATTTACCAAAGAAAATTGGCCATTTTGCATGCTCTTTGATGCGTTACTGCTGATGACAGTAGGGGTAATTATGCTTATATTCAGAAGACAGGTACATTGGATACCAGAACTCATTCTTATTTTTGTTAAATTACACTCTTTCAGACCAAAGGATGTAAAAGTACTGGAAGAAGCAGCCTTGAAAATGGGAATTGGGAAAAGAGGATGAAATGGAGGTTTAGAAGAAAGAGGTGTGAAAAGTCTTGCATATCATACACTCTTTTCGTCATTTTGTTTGACAATAAATAACTGTTATACATAATATTTCACTTGAATTGAATCTCGGTATGCTTAAGAAAATGCAGACTCTTTTCATACAGGAATGTGTCTGGAATTTGAAAATTCATTTGTAATTAAGGATTTTTAGTTTATCATTGTAGCCTAAAAACATAGTTCATTTTTGAATATTAGAAAAGCAGTACTGTTGAAGTCCCCTTGAGAATTCTGTGTCATAACCTTCTGTGTAATGTACAAACCTACAGGTGGTAAACTGAGTGAGTAAATGGATGACTTGCTTACACCAGTGCCTCTTCTGCCAAGCAGGAGTCCATGTACAGACCTCTGTTGTTATGTTCTGCTCCCATTGTTTAATTCTTATACTTGTTTTACTGACTTTCCTGTTGCCACAGTTGAAACTCATTTATATAATGCTCTTTTTCAGATGCTTTCATTGTGTTATAAATGTTAACTGCATATAATATGAAGATTTTGCTGTCTTTGGAATCATACATCATTTAACTAGGGCTTGCTTCTTGTGAAATACATAATGAAATGAGATAAATAAAACATATTAAATTTAATAGAATAATAATCACTGTGGTCTCTCGTGTTGATCAATGAAATTCAAGTATAGTTTGTAATATTTGATACTTTTGCAGCATGCTAAAGATGTCTAATTTGAGAAATGATCTTCATAAAACACTGAAACCACCTACTTTGGATGAGGAGCCATGAAGAAAACAGAATAATGTAATGTGAGCTAACTAATTGACTCCATGAAGCTAAGACCTTCTTAAGAGGCTGGTAATAGCTTAGCTGCTCATGATATTCCATGCCTTTTTTTCATCCACAAGATTAATTACCATGTTTCTTTAATCACTACATTAATATTATCCACCATTTACACTTAAGTCTCCCTTATGGGAGTTTTTCCATATAAAATCCTGTATGCTTTTATCATATATCTATGCATACTACATGGTCTGTCCATCTCATCCTCCTTAATATAATCTCTCAGTAACTGGTGAAGAGTCGTGTTTATACTATCATGCAGCACAATGTTTTTGGTCATAATTGTACTGTTTTGTAGTAGAAGATTCTCAGTAATGATTGTAGTAGTACTTCTTGTAGCACAAAGTTTCAGTTGTCACTATGCTGTCCTGTACCACAAGGTTTTCATTCATATTTATACTGTCTTAGGACAGAATTTTCCAGTAAAAATTGTGTCTTGTAACAAAGGTTTTGAGTCATAATTATACTCCCTTATATCTTAGATATTTATAACAGTATCGAGAGCATGATTCATGATTGGTTTATTTCTATCGAGTCATCCCCCTGCACCAGTCTTTTAACTGTTAGTCAGTGGCTTCTGTTCTTGCTTAATGACACTGTATTATAGTGGGTTACTTTATAAACATTTTGGGGTAGCTGGTTATATTCATTTTCAAGCCAGGTTCTCTGAAATATCACCAAACTTGCCCACAACAAAAACGGTGTCATTACCCATTAATCAAGAAACAAGCAAAAAAGTCATTGATCATGTAATATTTAAGGAGAGAAAAGGGGGGGGGGAGGCTTGAATTGGCCCAGAAATGACAAGACTTGGTAGCTTATGTTTTAATACAAACAGAATTCCTGATGGACAGACAGTTTTCATGTTTGCTGGATAAAGTGTCTTGCAATAAAATGTCGGATGGTGCAAGATACAGGTCTACAGATTTTATGGAAGTTCATATTAGTTTCATAGAACATACTTCAATATATATAGACAAATATTTATTCAGTTTTTGGTTGGTTTGTTACACAGAAAAATATTTTCTATTTTCAATGTTAAGAATGGGAATTTTTTATATAAGTCAGTCACGTTCTTTCATCAGGCTTGATGATGAATGGAACCCCCGTTTTATTTGATTGTGGCTTGAACGTGTCTCTTTCATTGGTTAATGGCTGATCAGATATCATCTTGTGATATAAGATCCTACACATTTCACGATCTTTGTTAGGTCATTCCATACCAAATCCCGCAAAATTGAGCAAAGTTTCAGCCATGCTATCAGTTTTAATTATTTGTGTTTTACTAGTAAATATCCATAAAGTAAAAGTTTTCCAAACGTTTTAGTTATTATTAATAAATCCATAGGTAATATTGAAATGCTGTAGTTTTTAGTGTGCACTAGGCCATTTTCTCACAGACATGTCCATATATCCTTTATTGAAAATGCATAAGATTTGGTTCTATAGCAATAGTTTTTCCCATGAGTAATGGTGCACACTTCTGCAGTAGTTTTGAAGGTATGACCATTACACAATTTTTTTTTTATTTCTTTTACTTTCATTGTATAGGCATCTTTTTGAAAATGTAAGTTTATAGGCCTGCTCCTACTAAGACTTGCATTTTTTATTAATGCTTAATACATACATAAGAAGAATTGTTTTTTTAGTTACACTGACTTACAAAATGAAAGCAAGAAACTGTTGATAAGGTGTGGATCGAAAACAGAAGTACAGGAAAGTGCCACTATCTGCTTTCAATACTAAGAATTATTGATATCAAAATACCATCTGCCCCTCCCCCAAATATAAAAATTCCAGAACTGTAACAAAAATTTTAAAAAAGGGTAGTGGGGGGTGGAGTCCAACTGGGTCCACTTGGCATGGCAGCCACTGATTGGCCTATTGTATCCCGCCCCGGGTGATTATGATGATGGGGAATTTGGTGGAATGAAGATTGACAGGGGGAAACCGAAGTACTCGGAGAAAACCCGCCCCAGCGCCACTTTGTCCACCACAAATCCCACTTGACCAGACTCGGGATCAAACCCGGGCCACCGTGATGGGAAGCCAGCTACTAACCGCTTGAGCTATTCAAAAAAGGGTAAGACAGACATCTATTCAGACTGCAGAACTGTTCAGTTAATGTGTAAATACAAACAGTTGTTAATTAAGCTGTGTCAGAAATTTGCACATTATGCAACAGTAAAGATATGGACAATATTAAAATGAACGAAATATCTGAAGAAAATATCCATGAAGAAGAATACCCTATCATAAATGTTTCATATGAAGGGAAATGCAAATTGAAGATCTCAGCTGCTCTATCACTGTGTTAGAGTGCTATTCAGTGAAACTAAGTGTTGCAGGAAGGACCTAGAATAGATTATGGGTAAAGAAAGATTGCACAAGCAAGTAAATTTGACAGTTCAAAAGTTTCCAGGGTGCTGAATTTGCACATTATGTCATTATCACAGTCCTGGATAATGCAAATAAACAAACATGTGAAGGAAATAATGATATTTCTATTTTAATGACTGAAAGAAAGCATAAATGTGCAACATCACCTAAACAAGAGATTCTAAAAATGTTAATGCTAGTGCCAAAATGTTGGGCAGTTCAGAGGACAACAGAGGAATGTGGGGTTTCTAAATATATGGTAACTCTTGTGCATTGAAGCAAGAACAGGGTATTCAGAAACATCAGTGGACTTTCAGTACTCTGTGCAGTGTTATATCCCAGAAGATAGAAGTCTCATTACTTAATGTTTGTTCAATATAATACAACCACTGGCCATTTTGATTTGTATTTTTAACTGTATAAATTTAATTAACTATTGCCCAAAATTTGATTTCATGGTTGTTGAGTGAATCTAACAGGAGACACCAAAAGGGTAATTAAAAATATATTTCTTTGAACATGTTATGTTATCATGTCAGTCATTTGAATTTTAATCGATGATCATTTTACAAAACAAATTTTCATAACACATGGGCTCTTATGAACGTGGCAGTGAATCTTTGGGTTCCAAAAAAGGAATTGAATTTTGTAAGTGTCTGAGCAACCACTAGCTTCTCCAGAAGGACTTTATTTTGTGGAAGTACATAGTTTTAGTAGCATTAAATATTTATCACTTTCATTTGCTACATTCTTATTCACTTAGGTCCACCCTTGCGGGCGTTACCGCCACAACACTGTGGTCTTCATTCTGGCCAAGGAGTATAATCTGAAGAATCTTCGAACCATCCACCGGCTAGACCGCCTGACTTCTGGCCTCTTACTCTTTGGACGTACTCCCAAAAAGGCCCGATCTATGGAACATCAAATTCGTAACCGCCAGGTGCAGAAGGAGTATGTGTGTAGAGTTGAAGGGGAATTTCCCAGGTACCATACTGTGATATTGTGGTGTTAAAATTAGCAGTACTGCATAACATTCCAGGTTCAGATCTCATCCCAAAGATGCAGTATTCATTTATGTTTCTCCTTCTTTTCCTTAGGCCCTGTAGACAAATGTCATGATACAGTATACAAAACAATACCTGCCTAACAGTGTTCACATGATTATTTGTTAGAAGAAGGTTGCAGTAATGGCAACCTTTGTGTTAAATAATCATGCATTAGGTTGGGTATCGCAGGTTGTGAAATTGTAACATTTTATGTGACACAAATTCAGAATTTGCATTTTAGAGTGTGAGTAAAAATGTAAACTAGTAGGTCTGTCACTGTGTAATGACCATACAACCTAGTCATTCTGTGATACTTAACTGAATTTTTTTATATATAATTCTTTAAAATGTGTCATGACCACTTTATCCTTTCCAATTGTCAGTAGCAGACTGATTTAGTGGTAACACTCAAGATTCACATTTGAACATTACCCAGCTTGGATCTCAGCCAGATGAGTGGTTATACTGACTGAGGTTTTTCATGGTTTTACTTAGTCTTATCAAACAATTCGTGGCATAGTCCTTTGAAATAGGCCATGACCACATCCTTCCAAATGTTTACCTACTTACCATTTATGTCAGATGGTAATTTTTCATCTTAGGATTTGATTAGAAAACATAAAAGTTAGTCACAAAAGCCTGAAATTATTGTAGCCAATCTGTGACTGGGATTCAGCCAGCCAGCTTGGTAGGGAATAATATGAGCATAAGAAAAAGTATAAAAATTTATGTTCAGCAGTAACCTAAATTTTCTTGTTTTGATGCTATTTTTCCATTGTTAATGCTTACACTGTAGTCTGAAGTACACACACACACACACACCTTGTCAGTTTGTTTAAAAAAATTTCATTACGTTAGTAAACTGTACATAGCATGAAATATTTCTATTTTTAAATTCTGTAACTTTTAGTAACTTTTCTGAGTTTTTGTAACTATTTAATTAGGCCTTTTCTTCTCCATATGTTTATTAAACTTTTGTGCCTGTTCAGTGAGGTGATAGAGTGCCAAGAACCAATTGAAGTGGTGAGCTACAAGATAGGAGTCTGCAAAGTGTCACCCAAAGGAAAGACATGTACCACAACGTTCCAGAAGCTTGGTTATAATGGCAAGACAAGCATCATATCATGTAAGCCCCACACAGGGAGGATGCACCAAATCAGAGTTCATCTCCAGTATTTAGGTGAGCATACACACACACTGGACTGTTGCATTAATCAACAATAATTGTGATCAGCTATTTGCAAACATTTCCTTGTGTCTGTTTTTGCTCTTTCATATTTCTTTCAGAGACAACGCATGTAACAGATATATGTCAAATGACAGTTACAGGACTGGAACAAGAGCACAGGCAAATCAAGCAGCCACTTGGGGACATACGGTTTTAGGGACAGTACATTCAACAGGCCCCTCTTTTTNTCTTTTTTTTTTTTTTTTTTTTTTTGTCTTCCTGAAAAATGAAAATTGACTTCGCTGCTCTTTTGTTCATATCATTATCATTAATTGATAGTCAATCCAGATATGATACACAACAATATAAGTGTAACTGTGAACTGCAAGTGCTGACTTTTTTTGCCAAATTCTGTAATTTCAAGCTAGCAGCCCCACCACAATTGATGGAACTGGATGACATGATATTATGTTGCTATTTCTTTGACTTTTCTTTTAAGAGCAGTGACATCACAGACTTCTTTTCTCACCATGTCTGAGAATTTCATGTTATTAATTGTGCCCAAATTTTTAGAAATTTGAGGTGTTTTTTTTTGTGGGGGGGGGGAGGGGTGCAGGTTTTGGGGTTCTGCCAGCTCTGGGCAGATATTATCTTTATCAAATACATAGTTTAAAAATTGTCATACAGTGAAAGTAGTAAGTATGTACATGGTACTTGTGCATAGCAGAGCAGGGTGATTCAGTCTGCCAAACTTTCTGGGTGCATAAATCAGGTGAGTGTGTGTAAAAATAATTTCATTAACAAGGGACTGATTTGGAAAGTTTAAAGGTTTGTGGAAATTTAAGAATAATATTAAAATGTATTATAAATAAAAGGTTTTAAGGAAAGTTTTCACAGCAACGTTAGTGTTAAACTAAAATTAGTGTTACTTAGTAGTGGAACATGTTACTTTGGATGCACATTTGAGCACATACGTGCACATTGTTGCCAACCATTGTAGTAATACCCTGTGCTCAAATATGGATTTAGGCATAACAAATAATTCCCAAAATTTTGATTACTTGTTACTTTTGTTTGGTTTGCTGCTGCTGTATATGCAATAATTTGTGAAGAAAATTACTTAATGAGGGGCTTCATAATTTGTTCTCTTTGCCAAATTTTAGGATGATCAAAATAGGGAGGTCAAGGTAAGGGAACATATAGCGAGCATGTGGGAGGTAAGAAATGTATACAAAAGTTGGTAATAAAACTTGAAGGAAGAAATAACTTGGAAGAATTAAGCATAGATTACAGGATGATATTAAAATTAATGTTAAAGAAGTAATATATGAGGGCATAGACTTCTAGTTTTCATGAACACACTATTGAACTTTCACTTCAAGCTTCATTAGCAGAGATACATATAATCCCTTCCCCCAAATAGGAATAAAAAACTCATAGAGTTGTAGAACTAAGTTTCCCTTCTTCTAGAGGGACAATAAAAGATTGAAAGTAGCCTACATTTTATTATTTGAAAAGAAATATTTCTGGAATTGTTAGTTGTTTACTGCCTGAATATGTAGATATCATAATCAATTTTTTTTATCATATATTACCGAAAGGGAAGATGTGTCAAAACGTTGGTCAGAACACAACAGATGATATGGTTGAAGTCCAAAAACCAACATTACATGTCAGATGCTGAGCACACAAGCTTAAGATCAAGAATGATCTGTATAATATTATAAATTGTACACTGTTGCTTCTTCCTTAGAGATAATTGATGCTCACTTGATCATTCTGTACTTGGCAGGGTATCCAGTGGTAAATGATCCACTGTATAATCACACAGTCTTTGGTCCTGAGAAGGGGAGAGGGGGGAACATAGGCAAGACAGACGAGGAGCTCATTCGGGACCTCATAAACATCCACAATGCAGAGAATTGGCTTGGCATGGATGGAGATTCAGAACTTAGCATGTTCAAGCCCCTCAAGGGAGACATGGATGATGGGCTCAACTCATTGTCAGGAAAAGGTAAAAGTGATTTCTAAAGGTTTGTGTCTGTGTTTGATGTACTGTGGCACAATTATGTCAGCACTGTTCATTGTTGAGGTATATTTGATATGCAAGTACTTGTATTGTGGGCATTGGCTCTCTTCCCATCTTCATATGATCTATCATCACTGTACTGATAGATATGCGTTTTATTGTTTTTATATTTGAGATGGATGGAGTGCTTTACATTGAAGTAAAAATATGTGTACTAATAATGACCACTGCCCCATTTTGAACAGATGCAAGTTTATTCTCCTTCATTGCCACTAGTCCAGAAAGTGAAAACTGTAAATTATATAGCAGTATTACAATAACCAGTCACCTGAAGACAGAATCAGAACCAAATTCTGAAATGTTGTGTTTATTAAACAATAATGGAAAGATATACTCTAATTTGGAGTACACATATTTTCTACACCTTTTTGCGATTGGAAGTATCCCATTTACCTTGAACTACATTAACTTCCAATGCAAATCTTGTAATGAGAAAGTTTAATTATTTCTGTCCTCATATCATGAACATTTATTGGGCAAAAGAGAATAATATTTTCCATTGACTGTATCTGTGAATGGTCAAATGAGAATACACTGTCCCATTCCATCATGATATTATTAAAAGTTACTTAAATTCCCAAGAGCAGAACTCTTATTCACTGTGTGTATTTAGAATATTTACAAATATATTTGTAATTTAATTATCCATTTCTAAGGATTTTTTTTTATTTCATTCCTTTCATAAAAGCCCCTTTAGACTTATTATTTCATCAAGAGAATGTTGTTCAAAAAATCTTACTGCAGTGATGTTGGTATGATTATTTATGTTTGTAGGGGACACGCTAGTATAGTTGGTTGAGACACTGTGCTACAAGCCGGAAGGTTGCGGGATCAAATCCTGATGGGCTGGGCTTTTTCAATTTACCTAATCCTTCCAGTCACACTATGGCCCTGAGGTTGACTTAGCCTCTAACAGAAATGAGTACCAGGAATATTCTTGGGGGTAAAGACGGCCAGCACGTAAGGCTGACAACCTTACCGCTATCTGTGAGCCGGTTGTCTAGAAAATGTGGAACCTCGATATCTCAACAACCTGATGGGACTCCATGGCCTCTTACAGGGCTACCTTGACTTACTTTTATTTATGTTTGTGTATTCTACTCTTTCCAGTGTGATGTCAGGCAGTCCTAAAAATGCAGGTAATGCGGTAGGGCTTGAAACAACATCTAGCATACAGCCCCATATTTTATTCTACAAGTCTGAAATTCATCCTTATTTCTTATTCTTCACAGAATACTTGTAACACCAAATCGGTCTGCCTTTGGAAGATCAATATATGCTGTCTCTTATGTCACATTGGATTTCTTGGTTAATGGAGGGACTCGCCTTCTCCATGGCCTTCTCCTCCCCCACCCCTCCATGGTTTTAGGTCTCTGATGAATGTACTTTAGTGTTGGTGGGATAATTTTGAGCTGCAAGAGATGATTATAACAAGACTGTTCAGAATTGAAAGGTCCAGGAGATGCAGAAACAGTTCCTATAGCCATTTCCATTTTGGGGTGCTGAGGGAATAAGGGGGCTAGTTTCAAGCATTTCCATCTTCATCACAGAAATCACCCTCAGATAGTATCACGGCAATATATGGTCTTGGTAAGTAATTCATTATATAATAAAAGGGATGACAATAAATTGTCTGTGAAGAGGTTATGCCCTATATATTGTATTTAGCCTCTGCAGTCAGTTTTTCTCAAGCATATGTACGGCTGTCATGGTAGCAGTCACACGTTGCTATCGTTCCTTACGCCCACCATCACATGCCTCTCACATACAGTCACGTAGGTGGGAGGATTTTACACGTGACCATCTGACTTGATATTTGAAGATGAGGTTACCTTTGAACATTACAATAATTTCATTGATGCTAATTACTCAGTTAGACTGTAATATTTAGCATATGCATTGATGAGCTATCAGGTATTGTAATCATTTTTGACTGTTATAATTTTCATTTTTTTCTACTCACATACATTTCTGTCTCCACTGAGACATATAAATCTCAGTATATGAAAGAATCTGTCCTGTTTCAACATTTTTCTATGAAATTATATAAAAAGCTGCTCTAGCATGAACTCCTAACTTCTCATGGTGTTCCTCTGATCATGTCTCATATGTAAATAATAAATAAAAACAATATATTTCTTGTACAGTCTCATCAGGCAAGGGGGTGCACCCAACATCAAGCTTGTCTCCAGGTACTGCCAGGGTGGTCTCGTTCGCTCTTCAACATTATAATTTCAAGGAAAGAGAATTGGTGGCTTAGTCTTAAGTAACATAGAGGGCCTTATTTTCTCTCCACCACCGCTGCCAACACCACCACCG